CTTTCCTTTGTGCTTGTAGCCTGGACCAGTCTCAGCTGAGTGAGGAGGTGACACAGATTCTGAAAACCCTGAGGGAGGAGAAGCCTCAACTGCTCATCTTCAACAGATGGTAAGGAGGGAGACCCCATGCTTCCTTGGGCTGAACCGGGCTCAGGGCTGAGTCCTTGAGGCTGTGACATGAGGAGTAGAGGGAGGGACAGGCAATGTCGGGAAGAAGTCAAGAAACCACAGCTGCCAGAGTGAAACGTTTGTTTGTGTCACTCTTCTGCTTAATTATGTCACTCTTCTGCTTAAACCCTTCCATTATATAAATAAGGAGATGAACAAATTTTTAAATATTGAATGAATGGGTGAGATTTGGAACATGGAAAGCAATTACCATGACGGGGAGACAAAAAGAGAGAGCCTTGGAGGAAAAGACCCCTGAGACAGGGAGTAGGGGAGAAGCCCGGATGGAGACCATGAGTTCAAATTCAGGTAAGCTGAATTTAAGTGGGGATCTCAGGGAGAATGAACAACTCTGTGTCTAGGAAGCCAAGTCTGACGATCCAGAAGGAGGCCCCATGTGGAGGAGATATGAGTGATGACGAATCTACACTCAGATGGCAGGAATTAGAATCAGGTAGTTCGAAGGGGCCATGTGGGAACATCATAACATGCATAGGGGCTGGGCGAGAGTGGAAGGTCATCCCCTCTATCCTGCTGCTTGTGGTGTCTGCCATGGCAGGAAGCCCACCTAGAAAGCCTCTGGTGAGATCCTCCACTCCTAGAACCTTGCAGGATTTCTGCTGCCCTCTTTCCCAGCCTCAGGGACTGAGGCTGCTCCTCTCCTGAACTGCTGTGGCATGTCTTAGACTCTGAGTCAGGGTTCAGTCTCCCAAGTCCACCCTGGGCTTCTGAGACTGGGAATCACTGGGAATCACCTCTTCATTCCTGCACATCCATATTTTGAACCATGTTCCTCTCACAAGCTGCCCACCTGGGGCATGCTTGGATTAGCAACACCTCTGGACCAGTAGGGAGAAAAGGTAGGTGGTGGGGGGGAGGGTAGGTCAGGAGACAGCAGGGTTGGGCCTCCTCAGAGAGCAGGCAGGCAACCCCAGGAACAGGGATGAAGGCTGCACACTTGCTCCCTGGCCCCATCCAGACAGGCCAGCCTTGGAAATGGCCTCTCCATGGTTTAGTCAAGGGGCTGGAGGAGGCCAGGCAAGAGAACCTAAAGCTGACCATGGCCTTGCCTGTTCAAGACAAGGGCACCCCTCAACTAGCACAGGTAAAACACTTCTGTCTGCCTTCTTCTATCGCTCCAGGGGACCTGCACGTGCAGCTTGTGGACACTAAAAATGACTTCTTGGGCCCCACAGGGCCTGTGGCTTCGGAGGTAGTTGACAAAGAGAGGAGCCTGTACCGGTGAGTGTATGAGACTGGCCTCCCCCATCCTGCCATCATCACACAGACAACAGCACCCCACTCATGGCCCATTGATCCCCTCCCCTTGCCAAGCCAACAGACNCCAAGGTAACTTTTAAGCAAACACCTGAAGCAGGTGAGAGAACAAACCATGAAATATCAGGTGAGAATATTGTTCCTGGCAGAAGAAACAGCAGGTGCAATGGTCCTGAGGTGGGACCATATTAGAGAGTTTAAGGAACAGCAAGGAGGTGAGTGAGAAGGCAGATAAAGAGAATATGAGATGAGAACAGAGATGACAAGGAGCTGATCTCCACTGTCCCATAGTCAAGAACAATGACCTTGAATTAAACCCTTAGTCCATGGGAAATCATAGGAGGCTTTTCATTAAAAGAGACCTGAAACTGGCTTACTGTTATTTGTTTCTCTGTTCCTCCCCCAGTACCTGTGCGTTTCTGGGGATCCCCAGAAACGTTACTGTAAGACCACTGTCTGGCCCAGTAGAGGTATTCAATGGGTGCTTGTGGTTTTTTGTGGGTGTTTGTGGAATCAACAGGTGAGTAAACTCATGGCCATTGGTGCGTGTCTCCCACAGGTTGGCCAGCTGCGGCCTCACAGCAGAAGGCTGCAAGGACCTTGCCTGCGGGCTGAGTGCCAGCAGCACCCTGACCGACCTGGACCTGAGCTTCAACATGCTCCTGGACGCCGGAGCTGAGCACATTTTCCCGAAGCTGAGACAGCCAAGCTGCAAGCTGCGGCGACTGCTGTAATTACTTCCCATTGAAACAACTTTGGGGTGGGGGGTTGGGCACAGAGGGCGAGGGAGCTGCCCTAAGACCACGGGCAGAGAGAAGTTGAGAGTTTGGCTGGATGAGATAGGGGAAGTGCAGGTAAATGCCCTTAGTGTTGAAACCCACTAAAGCAGCCCATACCAGCTAATTGGGCATTTGGCAGAGATGATTCAGTTAACATTTGACCCAGGCATACCAGTGGAGCATTGGGTAAATTAGTCATATAAGGTTGAGGACTGGGGAGAATTCGTGAGAATTAAACAGGAGAGAAAAAGGGAGACTGCCTACATCCTGAGTGGCTCCTTGGCTGCAGGATGTAATTAAAGTCTCCCAGGTTACTACAAGCCAGACACGTCTTTTATCTCCTTTAATGTCAGCAAAGACCCCCAAAGGACCACAGATACTAGAAAGGGAAACCAGACACTAGATACCCTGAAGAAAGGGCCCTCGGGACAATGACTGTGGGCCTGTGTGCTTCTCTCCCGCAGGCTGGTCAGGTGTGGCCTCACATCCAGCTGCTGCCAGGACCTGGCATCCATGCTCAGTGCCAGCCCCAGCCTGATAGAGCTTGACCTGCAGCAGAATGACCTGGGTGACATTGGCTTCAGGCTTCTCTATGAAGGGCTCAAGCAGCCTACCTGCCGACTTAGGCTCTTGTAGTAAGTCTCTGCGGGTCCCTTCTGGGCATAGGGCAGGGAAGGGGAGGAAGGGGTTGGCAAGGGATGCTGGTGCCCTGGAATTGGACAGGGGAAGTAAAAGGACAGATAAATGCATGGCCAGCCTGGATTTCTTACCAGCTCTGCTACTTACTTAGGCCATGAGTCTTGGGCAGTTCTTCATCTCAGACACAGTTTCTTCATCTGTATAAAGGGACTATTATATCCGCCTCTTAGACTGTGATGAAAAGAATGCATGTAAACCAAGGACAGTGATGAGAAGACAGTTGAGAGGATCAAATGATAACTGTTACTGAGGCCATGTGTTCTAGGGGATGCTCAGGTTCACTTCTCTACTCCAGGGCAGTGCTTCCTTCATTCCTTCATTGATTCATTGATCCATTCATTTATTCATTGCATGCCTCTCATGTGCCAAGCACTGTGCCTGGTACTGAGGAGAAAATAATGAGCAACAGATGCGGGTCCTGCCGTCCTGAAGCTTCCGTTTCAGTGGGGACAAGATAGATGTTAACCATACATTTAACACACACATTTGTATTTCTAAGCTCCATGGAGAGCTGTGAAGAAAAGTGCAGTGTGTTATGAGAGTGGAACATGGGTGGAAGATGGAATTAATCTGATGGGGCAGGGAGAGCATCTTTGAGGAAGTGACATCAGGCCAAGACCTAAAGCCGAAATGAGTTGACCAGGCCCTGTTAGGGAGAGCAGTCCATGCGAAGAGAGCATGGGGTTGGCCCGGGGACAGAAACCAGCTCAGAGCACTGGAGACCTGTGTGGTTCGAGTACAGCTAGCCCCAGGCCTAATTTCCCATGCTGTCTCTCGGCCACTTCCACTCTTCCCTTGCCACTCTAAAAAAACTCCACAGGCCGATTCTGGCCAAACGCTTCTTTGTGGCTCATGGCTGGGGCCCTGTCACACACTCACAAAGCTGACAGGGCTCCAGACCTTCATGTCCTGACCCCTTGGTCCTGCGCTGAGTTCCCAGCCAGCTCTAGGAGGAGGCTGCAAAGCCCAGACACTCGGGCTTTCCTCAGCCAGGCCTCCCTCTCCCAAACCTAAGTGTGCAGGAGGGCCAGGTTAGCAGGGGTTAAACAGCCTACATTTGGGTCCTCCCAATACCCACCCTGAACCTGGACAATTAGGAGAACTCCAGTCCTGGGAAGAGGCTGGGACCTTCACACACCAGCCTCCTCCCCACTAAACATTAATGACTCTCACCTTCTCCCCAACCGGGAAGGGTCTCTCCAAAGATGGACCTTTGCAGTGGGTCTACATTCCTGCCCCAGCTCAGCAGTTACTGGTAACATCTTGGTGGCCTCAGAGCAGCTTGTCCTTGGAGGACTGTGAAAGTTTCTGCCTCCCTCTCTCCTGGAGCCCAGGGACTTGAATGGGAAGGACAACCATCTACATCGTGGGCTCCAAACCCCTCCCGGGGTAGAACAGCTCTGACAGCAGAAATGAGTGAGGTGTGCACCACACTTTGCAGGGTGCAGAGTTCTCTCACCTGCTTTGTCCATGGCTCACAAGTAGAGCAGATCCATCCATGTTAGAGATGAGGGCAAAAGTTATCTCAAATCCAACAGAAACCACAAAAATCAAGGCCTGTGGGAATGCAAACAGGTGCTCTCTTTCCAGCAAACGTTCTAGCCTATAGGAAGCCAATCCCTGGACCTACCCCTAGGTTGTCATTTTGAGGCCATGGTGAATGGCTGATCTGTGGCGGACGTTGTGAAGAGCTGCCCAGGTCCCCTTCAAGAACGGAGACGTAGGGCCGGCCAAGTGGCGCGATGGTTAAGAACT